TTTACCCCAGTATTAATCTAAGGACAAAGATGAACTGTAAGCATGTTCACTAAACTCATCAGTATACAAAATCTCTTTCTATAAGGTCATTCACAACTACTGATATTTGTTAACACTTTGAACTTGGTATTATAATAATATTGCTTTTTCTTGGTAATAATTTTTGACTATAGAGGCACTTACTATAATAGAAATCTAGCATGCAGATGGCTTTAGACCAAATGCCCACCTCCCAAATCAAACTATTCTGAGAAAACTCGTGCTCCCAAACTTAGAAGGCTTCCCCAAACTGTCATTGATATTCACGGTACTTTGCCCAACATAACATGTGGTCAGTGATGTTTTCCGGAGTGTCTTTTTTTTTTTTTTTTCCAATAAAAATCCAATAGGACTGAGCTCCATCTTGGCAGCAAATTCTTAGCCATGCATGCATGAGTGGTATGTGCCTTCAGTCCCAGCTATTGTAGGGACGGAGGTTGGATGGTCATTTGAACCTGTAAGTTCTAAACCAATCTGATCACTCTTTGAAAAAGTAGGAAATGAATTAATTTAAAAGTAAAACTAACACAAGTGTTTCTTAGGTTGCTGTAACTTTTAATCAATATTTATAAACAGTTTCATAGATTTGAAGCATTCTTTTTAGGTAATATTTACGAGATTTTTGTGTGTCTTTAGTAAGTAATTTAGGCCTTGACTTTAAAATAAGTTCTCCGAAATTAAGAACGTTATCTCCATCTAGTGGACAAAGTGTTATATTACAGCTACAAACAGCAAAGACCCTACTTATATCTCAGACCAAGAATTTCTTTTTGTCCTATTAATAAATGTTTTGATTTTCATAGATAGTATTACTGCAAATATTTTTAGATATCTGGTAATATTTTTCAAAAAAACTGCAGTAGGGTGTCTCTGTGCCCCAAGATTCTTCCTAGTTGAATTGAAAAATAATTGTATTCAAAAATGTAAATTGATGATTTTTGGTGATTCAGCTAGGATTGCTCCAACAGAGAAAAAGTAAAGCCAAAAACCACACTCTCCTATCTCCTTTATAGTTCATGCAGAATATGTAGTGAGAGTCTTCCTTTTGTTTCACTCAACCCTGACATCATCCTACTAGATCATAAGGGGAAGCAAGCACAGATGCTTCATGAACAATTTCCATCGCTAGTCCCCTGTGACTGTCTTCTTAAAGCGAAATCTACTCCCATCTCTCCCTCTTCTTCTGATGGTGTCTTCCAAATGTATGTTGAGTAGCACTAAAAGACCACTTTAGCTACTCCTCATCTATGAAAACATTACAGGTATCCCCACCTGACATGGGTATCCCCGACTGAATTAATACTATTGTTTTTATGTTTTTAATCACAGTACACTCATAATAAATGTTTAATAAATGCTTATTTAATAAATAACATCCAAGAAGAATGTCCCCAAATTCCTCTGATATCCCTCTTCAATGGTTAGAAAAACCCCTGCCTTCCCTGGCTTTCCTGTGGATAGCCCAAGTGCCTGCAAAGTAATGACCCTAGCCAGATGAGTCAGAGGCCTCTCCTGTAGTCCACAGTTACTCACACATATTTGTGCCTCATGGAATTCATGCACTCTGTCAGCGAGGACTTTGGGAACAATAGATCATTAAATCTTAGCTCGGTGACTTTGATCAATCGGCTTTTCTAGAACCTGTCATCTTTTGTCTATAAAGTGAATGTTTAATTAAATAACCAACCAGCATCTTGACAGAAGCATATAAATACATTTATAAGATGACACAATTCTAAGAAAACTTAAGGGTTGGGGAGATGGCTCACTTGATAAAATCCTTGCCACACAAGCATGTGGACCTAAATTCCTAAGTCTTCATGCAAGTTAAAAACCTATCATGGGCAACACATCACTATAATCCCATCTTCGGTATGGCAGCTTCCATTATCAGTAAACTCCAACTTATATGAAAGAATAGATTGAGAGCAATTGATGGAGACAGCATCAACCTTTGGCCTGCATACATACACACATAGACAAACATGTATATACACCACACACCCCATTACATACACACAAAAAATTTTGAGTTGGAAAAGAGATTTTTGATTGACTGAGATACATTATAACTTTCTCCCTTTTTCTTTGGGCTTGAAGGTTGATTGTGGTCTTGCTCTATACATATATAATCAATGATTTACCCCCACCCCTTGTTTTACTTGGGACACTTGAGACATAACATTGAATAACCCCAAGAAAGACAATAAAAATGTTTTAAACTATGGGGGGGCATAGTTGAATAAGAGAGAGAGAGAGAGAGAGAGAGAGAGATTGTGTGTGTGTGTGTGTGTCTGTGTGTGTATGTGTGTGTGTGTCTGTGTGTGGTGTGCACATGAACATGTTGAAAATTTACCCCAGGGCATTGTGCATGTAGACCAGCACTGTACTGTTGAGCTGCAGGTTCCATCCTGGATAAAGATTTCTAATGGGGAATGTTGATAACAATTTAATTTGAATTAATTTGTGCATTCAGTGATTTCTATTAACCACATATTCCCTGGCCTATCCCATGCTGTAACTCTCTTCTCTTCAAGAACACATGAGAGTTGAATTTGATGCTTATTGATATTTCCACTAGAAGGGTTTGTTTGGGAAAGTTTGGCTGGGTTATAAAGACTATCACATTGAAAGCTGTTATAAGTGGCTACTTTTGGTTCTCTGGCTTTAAAATTCTGCATTGAACTCAAAGCATTTCATTCTTTCTATATTCATTTACCCCACTTAGTAAAGGGGTTTTTGTTGCTCTTTGTTGTGCTGATGGATGTTGAACACAGGGCCTAATGTGTAACAGTCAAATATTCTACCATTCATCTATGCTTCTAACTCCAGTAAAGGATATATATCATATGCATACATATATGTGTTCTTTGGGAATTTGGTATAACATGTTTTTATCATATTCATCCTCCCTTCCCCAACTTTTCCCAGATCTACCCCTTCTTCTTTCCCACCCAACTTTATATCACCCCAAATGAAGGTTAATATGTTCTGCCCAAATATTCTTGGATAGTGTGGACTTCCATTGGGCATGGTAAATTTATTAGGGGCTACACTCTCAGAGCAAACTGACCCTCGTTCTCCCTGCAGCTAACAACTGACAATAATTGCTCCTTGACTAGGTGTGAGAGTTTGTGTCCAAATCTGGATTTTATCTATCTTGAGCAACAGCTGGGAAATCATATTGCAACTACACTGTTATATTCAGAAAATCCTTTCTTATAGTCATCTACTACTGTTGCCTCTTACAATCTTTCCATGTCTACCCTCAATAGTGGTCCTTGAGTCTTTGGAGGAGGGAATACAGTAAATATGTTCTACTTAGGGTTGGGAATTTTAGAGTCTCTTATTGTTTTACCTCTTGGTCAGTGGTGAGTCTCGGTGTCAACCACCATTTGTTGCAAATAATAGGCCATAGATGGAAGATGGGGAAATGCATTACTCTATGGGCATAATGAGAGTTAATACTATATTCATTTAGCAGCATAAGAGTAATAGGTTTTCTCTTTGAGTCTATGACCTGTCTAACCATAGGTTCTTGACTTATCCAATAAAGGTTTTGGAAGAGCACCTGAAGTGCTGAGATATTCCAAAGACCATTTCGTGAGAGCTCAACATCTAGAAATTAAGACATTGTGGCAAACATTTTCAGTTAATTGTCAAGGAAGAGGCCAATGACTTTGGTAGCATAATGGGCAACCCACATGCCTCTGAGAACTCCAGAAAACTTTCAGATAAAAGTTAACTCATAAAGAATGAATTCCAGTTGTTTCAGTAAAGGAGAGGCAGGTAATCAAGAAAGCAGCTCAAGAAGTACCAGCCAGAGAGAGGGGGTGGCAGTTCAATGTGAGTTGATTGCCAAGTGCCTGATGGTCAAGGGGATACCTTGGCTGAGCAGATGGTTGTTTGCAATTGAGAGATTTCCAAGACCTTCAATCTAACCAAGAAGTTTGTATCTGACTCTGAAGGCAAAGTGAGCTGAGGAAGACTTTCAACTGAAGGATGTTGCAGTCAGCCATATTTGTGTTTTAAGAAGATAAAGATACTAGATAAAAAGTGGAAAATGGATTCAAGAGATGACTGTAAAGGCTGCTGCATAACCACAGCAAAGGGTGGAGAAACTAGTGACTGAAAAGGTGTAGTGTGAGAAGGAAAAGAAGCCAAGGTTCAGGTGAATTGTCACACTAGACACACTAGACACACTAGACAGTGGCAGTGGTTCAACCAGACTGAAATATTTACTGGAGTACTATTAATTTGTTCTTTTCTAAACAGGAATCCTGTGCTCACAGCTACTTTTGCAGAATGACTTTTTTTTTTGAAGTTAGGTTTAAAAAGACTTATGCCTTGTGATTGTCAAAATCCAAGGAAAAATGAGAATGTTAAACCAATGTGATGTTTACAGTTGTGGGTTTGTTTGTTTGAAGTGCTAGGATTCAAACTCAGGGTGTTAGTCTATGGAAACATGCTACCACTAAGCTACAGCTCTAGTTGAGTGTTGTACTTTTTACTAGGAAGAATTACCAAAAGTGGCCAACTAGGCACTCGAATTTCACACCCAGCTCCATGCCAGCAAGCTGGGCTTCTTACCTATTTAAAGTTTCTTACCTATTTAAATAGGTTAGGAGTGTCGGCATCTGGCACCTTAAGCCGGCGTTGGGTTCATCCTGCAGTGCCAGAATATGGAAGCTGCTCCGATGCCACGCAGCAGCTTGACAGCGCAGGCTGCCACAGCAGGTTCTCCTCTTCCCCTGGGAACCTCGGGCGTGGGGTCATCCCACTCCTGACACCATTCTGTAATGTGGCGGCAGGGCCTGGGAGGTTGCAGTAAAGACTTATTGTTACAAAGAATTGCATATAAAAAAGTCTTCCCATCATTCCCCAAATCAAGCTGACTCCTTTGCTGAGATTCTAGCATGCCAGTCCTCACACCAATGTAATTCTTTTTCCTCTATTCACAGTTTCGATGTGGACAATGGCACATCAGCGGGACGGAGTCCCTTGGATCCCATGACCAGCCCAGGATCTGGGCTAATTCTCCAAGCAAACTTTGTCCACAGTCAACGCCGGGAGTCCTTCTTGTATCGATCTGACAGCGATTATGACCTCTCTCCAAAGTCTATGTCCAGGAACTCCTCGATTGCCAGTGATATGTGAGTATAAGGGTGGGCAGAAAAGGCAGAAGAACTTAAACCTGAGCAAATACATCTCTGCTTGGATTATGTCATAAAGGATGATTTCATCCAACTGTATCTGCCTCCTTTGATGTAGAAAGTGAATAAAATTATCTAATCTGAAGATGCATAGTAGATTTAGCTTGAGTAAACTGTCACTCTTGGGTAAGGGGAAAAACATTTTCTCAGAAAATATATCGTTTGGGCAAATTAGAGTTAAAAATTTAATAGAAAATTACCCTTAAAATATCAGCTTATATTTATGCAAGATTTGTGTTTTAGATACTCAACCACATGTGCATTTACTAATATTTTTAAAAATGCCTTAAACCTGGGTTGACAACCCCTGTGATTTTAGGATGGACAGTGTCTTGATTATATCTTAATTGATATGTGTACAGATGTGGAACTGGCAATATCTTTTGGGTGTTTTGTAAAAATTAAACCAGGTTTTGAATGTAAATCGTTAGAGGCAATATTACACTTGAGTTCATTTAAGACATGGCACAGATTAGAAATGAATTAAAACTAACAGGTTAGTGGACAATATGGGGATTACTAACTCATTTCTCCAGCACATGTTTTTTTGCACACTCACTATTCTGTCTGTATTCTTTCCAAATTAAGAAAACTCCTGCATAGCTTCTGTCTCACTCCATATGTGCACTGTCATGTTTGGCAATGGATACAATTAGCCTCCTTTCTCTTCTGGGTCTAAACATTTTCCTGTTACATGCAACATCTTCTCAGGACACTATCTCCCAACCTACTGACTGGTCATCACATAGAACCCCTGGGGGTCTAGTGTTACTCTTGATACCTTAAATGTTCACCAAGGCAATAGACCAAGCAACATCCCCAAATGGGCTTCTAGAAATTAAGATGTACCTTGAACTCACTTTAGTTCTTTGTCCCTACTTCTCCCAGCAGTCATGTTACTGATGACTGCTCTTCCTAAATAACTTCCTTTTGCTAATGGGCCTATTTCTGTGTTATTCTTATCCCTCTTCTATATGTTTGAAAAATTCCCATAGAATGTTTATTTATTCATTCAAACACAACAAGGACATTCCTTGAGCTCTTAGTCTGTGGCAAAGTAAGGACTGGTATTAAACCATATGTAATAAAATGTCAGTACCACCCTTGAGGTTTTACAAAGCACTACATAAATGCAGAGCATGGGGCCAGGGAAAGCTCTCTGCCCAAAGGAAATGGGAAGAAAGTAACGGGTTCAGGGAACAGTTTTGCAAAATTTGAAGTATGGAGGCTCTGGTACATTGAAGGCAAGACATTCTTCTGGATGTGAGGAGCAAACATAGTAAGAGAGGAGGAAGACTCAAAGTTCATGGAAGCTGAGAGTCCCTGAAGTTCTTAGCTTGGGTTTGGCCTTGGTCATGTTTCATTTTTATTATATTTTGGGTATTATTTTCTATTTTGAAATGATTGGACAGTAAAGAGATAATAGGGAAGGGATTCATATCAAATTTCACAGAAACAAAATTGACCACATGTGATAAAGATCTAAATCAAACAGAGAGATTGGTTCAGATGTAAGAGGCGCAAGGCCTACAGAACTCTCTCTCTCTCTCTCTCTCTCTCTCTCTCTCTGTGTGTGTGTGTGTGTGTGTGTGTGTTTGCACATGTGTGTGGGTGTAGCTTGTAGAGAAAAAACAAAAGGAATGCCATAATGTGACTCTGACTGAGCAAATAAATGGCAGTATTTACATGAGAAACAAGGAACAGAGAGTGGACAACACAATGCCAGACACTAAATATTAGATTCAGCTTTTATAGAATAGTATAAAAAGGGAAGAACAAAGATGAGAAATAATGGTCCACTGGACTAGAAGAAATAAAAAAAAAGAGTCAGTTACCTTATATAATTACCAGTGTTTAGATGTCATTTGAGTGAAGCACCTTAGTCAGGCAATGGAGTTAAAAGCCCAATAGGTTGGGAGTAAATGGAAAGTGGTTCTCTAAGCCAGTGAATGCATATTTTTAGAAAATAGATGAGACAAGGGAATGAGATAATTAAAGCTGACTAAAGAAGAAATAAATTCAAGAAAAAAATTTAAAATTAATAACACTTGAGCTCAGTGAAGACTGAGAAGCTAGAAACTAAAAATCCAGTGTGGGGAGATTATAGATAAATAAAAGAATTGCTAAGACAAATAGGATATTGAGCTCAAGAAACAGTTTCTGGAAAGGTAATAGAGACTGGGATTGTATTCTTTAAGAAGGACAAAGAAGAAACAAATAAAAGAAGAAATATAAATATAGAGATGAAGGGTTAAAAGATTTAGAAAATTCATGGCTAATGATGGCTGCTTGTCCATTAAACAGGAGGTTTAACAGTTGATACCAATGAGAGTGGAATGGGTAGCTTGAGTACAAGGTAAAAAGACAAAGCCACTACATACCCAGGCCTGGTGGTACCCACCTGTAATTTCAGCTACGCAGAGGTTGAGGTAGGATGGTGATAAATCAGACTGTCTCAGCTATTAAAGGAGTGCAATTGAAGGAGTGCAGGACCATCCTGGCAGCACAGTGAGACCATGCCTCCAAGTAAAACGTACAAATAAGGCTGGAGGTGCCACCCCTAGTGGTAGAGTGACTAATTATGTGAGACTCTAGATTTAAGTGCAGTGAGGAAAGGCTGCTAAACTGATCAAACAAGAGAATATCACACCAGAGAGATTAATAGACAACTACTCAATCCAAGAATTCCCACAGGTATTCATTAAAAGCCATCCAGTCCAACTTTATTAAAAGTGAAACAGCAAAACATAGCACCCCTCCCAAGGATCAAAGAACATTGAGGAAGAGGCTGGAAGAATTTCAGGACAGAGAGGTGTGTGGCAAGAAGAGGTCTTCTAGATATGACATGATGAAGCCATCATATTCATGGACTCACTGCAGCTATGGTTATCTGCATAAGACCCACAGAAGATTGGGCCTGTCAATATTTCATCACAGATGGGGAGCAGGACCATGAAGCTCCAACCCTTCCTGAGAGACTATAGGCAATTAATTAACAGGCAAGAAACTCTAGTTAAACTCAGTGGAGCACACACAAAAAAGAAATGGAAGTATGAGGAAGACTGGTTAAAAAAGAAAGTAGGAGAGGGAGATGGGAATGAAATGACTAAAATTTATTATAAGAATGAAAGAAACAGTCAAGCAATTAAAACTATTAAAAAGAAAGGTCAGAGAAGAACATGTAGTCAGTAACTGCACTTTGTTTTAATGGCTAAATGTTCTGCTCTCTAAAATTCTAGTAAAACAATTTTGGGATGCTGATGCATACACTGTGTGTCTCATACCTCTTATTCAAGTGAAGAAAGACTAAATATGCACCTCCATTTTATGAAAAACTGGTAATATTTCACATGCTAAAAAAGCCTTTTTTTCCAAAGCCCTATGCAAGAATGGCCTCATTTTACCCTGTACCAATTCAAGTGTCCCTTTATGTACAGAGGACTCATGTACAAATGACAAGTTGAATCAGACCATGATGCAACTCTGTATATTGTTGAAAAATAATGTCTTTACGTGCTCAGTTTTCTGAGTTTCTATGAGTATTTCCCTGGGAGAAATAAGCTAGCTGTTCCTCTCATGCTTGCTGAGAAACAAGATAAACAAAATAATTATGACTTCGTATTTAATTTACTACAGCATTTATCTTCCACACATCCATGACTAGGCTTTCTCTTTATTTTATAGCTTATGTGGCCATGTGTAAACCTCAGATTCCTTTCACTACTTTATGTTGATGATGTAAAGATTGTTCAATCTCCCTAGCTCCACTCCACAGTTCAACTGTGCTTTATAGAGAATAATATCATTAAAATCTAGTTTGCAGGCTTAATGATTCTGCATATATTGTTCTTATCTAGCTTTTCAATAGATAGAATCCCTTAGTGTCAATGAGAGTGTGCTATTATTTGTTTGACTGAAATGTTTTAGAAAACCAAATTCTCTGTAAGTTTGGGTATATTTGTTTAATTAGTTAGGAACTGAGAAGAAAGAAAATAATTACTTTCTGCTAAGATTACAGATTATATTAATAAGTAGCTGAGACACAGAAAGAAAAAACAATAGTGATGGTCATAACATAAATTGTGTGGGGATATTACACTTCACTTTTCTGAGTATTTTCATAACTGCTGTGTCATTTGACACTTCAGGTCTTTCAATATAGATATTAATATGTTATTTTTGGATAGGAGATCCAAATTCAGAAATGTTCATCTTTTCAAAGTACAGTAACAGTTTTGATCACTTGTAAAGAACATTATTTTGATGATACCATTGTGAACAGTATTTGTGAGTAGATAGATGAAACTCATTTGACCCATGATACCATTGTGAACAGTATTTGTGAGTAGATAGATGAAACTCATTTGACCCATGATACCATTGTGAACAGTATTTGTGAGTAGATAGATGAAACTCATTTGACCCATTTGAAAAGTGGGTGTGACAATGATACACACCTGTAATCCCAGAGTGTGGGATGTTGAGATAGGAAATTTCCTGCAGGTCAACAGTCAGTCTAGTACACCAGTGAACTCCATGTCCACCAAGAGGCAGAGATCACGACTCCAAAGTAAGATGGAAGCAACTGAGGAAAATACTCCCTGTCCATGTCTGGCCTCACACACATGTGTACACAGGTGCACATGCCTCCCACACATGCCACACAAACACACTTAAATGTAAACACACACACACACACACAGAGAGAGAGAGAGAGAGAGAGAGAGAGAGAGAGAGAGAGAGAGAGAGAGAGAGAGAGAGAGAGAGAGAGAGAGAGAAGAAGAAGAAGAAGAAGAAGAAGAAGAAGCACAGCAGTGTTAGCATGACCATAGTAAGGAAATATAGAAAAAGTAGATGTGAATCACTTAATAGAAAAACATTTAAACAACTATAGACCCGACCGGGAAAATGAAGGCTGCCACTGCAGTGACATGAAGAAA